GTATATAAATTCTAAATCAGTATCAACAGGCGATTCCTTATAGCCATATATACATATGTGCTCGTCCGTCCGTTTCTACGTCTTAAAGCTATCTGCATGAAACTTATCCAAATCTTTTATCTTTTTATTCCATGTAGCACTTACGTCGGAACGGGTCTGAACGGAGTACTATATCGAATAAAAATAAACAATCTACAATTTTGGTTAAAATTTTATTGAAACTTGTCGACGATTTCATATAGATGCCTTAGAAATATTTCGAATATTAATTGAAAAATATATGTATTTATATAAGAAGTTGTAGTTTCGTTGTTTTTGATCATAAGGCATTGCACTTCGTTATGCACCGTCAAAAAATATAACAATAGAAAATTTTTATCCTTAAATCATAGTGTTTTTATACAAAAAAGCTTTATATACAAAGCTTGCTGTTTCTTAGTCTACAAGCAAAATGGACGAGATACCCAATGAGATGGTTTAGCAAGAGTGCCGTGTTGGAGAGCCATACAATTAACAGTCGTCAATGTACAAAGTATGGTTGATTGCAGGAAGATTTTCTATAGGTATCCTATTATCAATTTCTAGCCGATGTAGAAACTGTGTGCTAGAAGAAATTCTTTGTCAATTTTAAAGACAAATTCATAAAGACATTATTTATAAGGCTGCTTTGTAAGTAGTTGAATCATGGGATTTTGATTTCTCATGAGGTTTAATTAGGTAGGTGAGCAGGATTCGTTGGATAACCATTTGTTTTTATTACCATACCTAGATAGCGTAGAGCGATAGCATAATATATTTTATACAGGGTATTGTTGTAGAATACTTAACACTTCTACGTTTGCGTTTCTGGGTTTACTTTTCCAAGGGTACTGGATGATATTGAAAATTTGGCTGTGTTGGAAGATGTTGGATTTGTTAAAAAACAGCATGTGGCGTTTAGGTCTTTATATTGAATGTGTTATGTGATTGATATTTGGCTACGTAAAGAAGATGGGATTTTGCTTGAAATGAGTTATAACTTTTTTCAAAAAGGGAAATCTGGCCATCAATTCCAAGATTTTACTATTAGGAACGTACGATTATTTTCCTTGTAGCTACATAAAAGCTATTATTTTTGCATTGTACAATCAGTTTTGGTTACGTCGGCAGTTCATCCTCATTTGTAATATAAAGTTTGGTTTCTTAAGGCTCTTTGTTTAAGCTCGTCTATGTCTTCTTTGCTTGGAATTAGAGTTTATTATAATAAGTAGGGTTTTTGGTTGTGGCGAAAAAGACGCTTTGACCAATAGGGGTTTCATTTTTGCTATCCGGAGAGAACGTGTAAATTTATGTGCGTTTCTTCGGACGCTATCAGTTTCGTCAAACAAATTTGGATGCACTTCTCGGTTGTCCAGAAACAGGCGAATATGGTATATGTATATGATGTAGTGTCGGAAAAGTTTCCTTTGCCTGTTACATACTTTTCAACGAATCTATATACCCTTTTACCCTGATAAAGAAATTTAGCACTTTAGTGTCGGAAATGCTTCCTTTTACCTGTGACATACTATTCATCGAATCTATATACAATTAGCACTCAACCGGCAGGGCTTAGCTTAGTAATCATACCATCGGAGTTTCGTTTTTTAGCTTAGCCACTTATTCTGAAATTATTATATTAAGATTTGTGCAATAAATACAACATTTGGTTAAACGTGTTTATAGGTTTTCCACCTTAATTCACCATAAGGTTAAAGTTATATGTACAACTTTCTAACTGTACGAAAATCTAAAAATCCTATACAAAGGAAGCATAATACGATAAAACAATTATTAAATAAATCAGAAGTATTTGCAACGATGATTATTTAAACTAAAATATAAATCCTCAAATTGAGCCTTGCGATTTCTTGGAAGAAGTCTACAATGAATGTTTTCGTGCTCGAGCCTGTAAGCAAATAATGGTCGACAAATAATATTACTTTAAAGAGCTCGCTGTGATTAAAATACTTATAAAAACACATAACGACTTTTAGTATCATGATGGACAGGATTACATGTCGCCGTTATACTAGTGGGCTGTTTCGTATTAAGAAGTCAACATGAACTGCTTTACAAGGTTTTGTAAATTTATTTGACACTTATAACCAGCCTCTAAAACTTTTATATATACTATACTATACTCTTCCTGTATTCTTGATCATGATCAATAGCCAAATCAATCTATCCATGTCCGTCCAAATTAACGTCGTGTTATTAGGAACTATAAAAGATAGAATGTTGAGACTAAGCATGCGAACTGTCCACACCCCCCAAAACTGTCACGTCAACACTTTTGAAAAATGTGACATTTTATTTTTAAATTTCTATAGATACGCCATAAAGCTTTTTTTCAGATTACAGAGACAGACGCAGCTCAAATTTGTTTTTTATGTTGCCATATTGTTTATTTTCTATACATATGGCAAAAACAAAAGGATGACCTTCCAAACGAACTTCCACTAGCTGAGTAACGGGTATCTGATAGCCAAGGAACCGGCCGGATTGGACCACAATATCTTATAGTTGCCTATATTATATATTCTTCAACACATAAGGAATACAAAGGGCCTGAAATCACTAGCTACAATTACTCATATTTGTACTATCATAAATAAACCATCTGACAGACTGTATAGAAACCTCTTCAGCTCGTGAAACTGCATAAGATTACGGGTTGCAAGTATCAACGAGATATTTCAGGTAATAATTGTTAAACAATAAATTTGATTAGAAATGAGAGAATGGAAGCAACGGTAACTCTTACCTTCCTTTTTAAGGTAAATTCCATTTTTAGATAAGGGGTGCTTATTGCTTACTGATTCTGAGGAGCGCTCTTTTAAGCAATTTCCATTAATTATACCTGTTACTCGTGGAGTAAAAGGTAGTATACCCTTTTTGTTTGTGTTGTCGATTTGTTGAAAAGTATGTAACAGGCTGAAGGAAACGTTTCCGACCATAAAAGGAATATATTCTTGATCAGGATCAAAAGCCGAGTCGAACTGGTTATGTCCGTCTATCCGTCCGTCCGTCCGTCTGTCCGTATGAACCTCTCGATTTCAGGAACTACAAAAGCAAGAATGTTGAGATTACGCATGCAGCTTCCAGTGACATAGATGCAGCGCAAGTTTTGTTTTCAAATGTTTCCACGCCCACGCTAACGCCCACAAACAGCACATAACCCTCATGTTCACACGTTTACAATATTTTTAAGATTTATACTCTTTAAATTATTTTTTCGGCAATTTCTACCGATAATCCAGAAAATGTTGAAATTTCTCGTTTGCACTTTCACTAGCTGAGTAACGGGTATCTGATAGTCGGGAAACTCGACTATAGCATTCTATCTTGTTTCCTTTTAGGATTCTGTGCAACAAATGACAAACGCTTATGAATATTTCTCAAAACTGATACATAAACCTGAGGGTTGAATTCCCAAGCGGGCACGCCATGTTCTTACAAAGAATAAATCAAATCCTTCGTCTAAAAACGAAAAGATGTACACTCTAACGGATCCTGCCATTAATCATCTAGAAAACAGCCAACTCGATGAAAGAAACAACAATGAACAATAGTTAGGTAGCTCGACTATCAAATACCCTTTTGTTGTAATGCAGCCCTCAGGAGCTTCATATAAATGCATAATCAATTAAAAGGTGCCAATAACGCTAGAGTTATATAACATATATAACAAACGTGCCAGCAATAGTTCACACTTAAATTAAAAGAGCCGTCTTCTCTCTAAATGCTAAAATCATTCGATTTCTAATCGCTGCAGCAATAGTTTTTTCTGCTTGCACATCTCTGTCTCTCTCGCACTCTCCATGGGGTAGTGATGGGTGTTTGCTAGTCCGGCACTCGACTAAAGCTTTTTCTTTTGCTTAGCATTTTATACGTAAATACGAATAAAACAAAATAAAAGCTTTATAGCCATTCTAAAAATTCTTATTGCAAAGAATTTTTTAAAATCTCACTAAATATTTTTCAAGAGTGTGAGCGTGACAGTTTGAAGTGACGTCGTTAGAATCCCAGCTTTTAAGCTCCAATAGTTACCAATATTTAACGTTAAAAAGATAAGACGGACACACAGACTTACGAACATATGTACATGGCTAAATTAACACAAGTAACGGGTGTAAAAGTAATTACTTTGCACAAGTATTAGTAAAAATTATTTTTCCTTTTTTTTTTAATAAAAACTGATATATATATCTGAATTAAAAAAATTTTTAAATGCCTTTGTATGTTTAGGGGCTAATTTTACTTTGGTATTTTACGGACCCTTGAATTATACTTGTAGTTTGGGAACCTCAATATTTTAGGAATTCTCATAAGGTCCAATTTCTCTGAAAACCTCACTTTGACTATGATATTATGCTAAACAAGTAAAGTACGTTTTGTCATTATCATAATCAATACCATTATCATTAGAAAAGTAGGAATGCTGTTGTATTAACTATATTTATATTGTATCTCCTGTGTTATTTATCAAACCTGGTTTATTTTCTAAAGTATGCAGCAATATAAGGTGTACGTAGAATCTCACAAAAGCGGTTTCATGAAGAAAAGTAATAGGTAGAGGATATATGTATAAACATGCATGTCCTACAATTTACCCATAGCATTTTTATTAATAAATAAATTTTACTTCGCTGGGTTCTATTTTGACTGTGCTGAATGAAATCCATATCATGTCAATAAAAATGTACTTTTCTGTTATATGCATTGTCTTGTATATTATATTTATAAACAAATTTAAATCAATTACTATGGGGCTTTATTGAAAATGTACGAGTAATTATTTGTTTTTATACACATAATAAAAAAAAAATATAAGATAATTTAAAAGTAATAAGATCTTTTGTCACTCGTTGTTAAAATGATTAAACATACCGAAAAAATAGAAATAACATTTGAAACTTTCGAAAGCAATTTGTGTGTTAGATTTATACAAAAATTAGAAAAGATTTTAAATGACCTACCTTAAACCCATCATAAGTCCAACTGCCAAATTTTAGAACACAGGTCTGTTCATCAAATGGGAAATATTCTACATCTATTTCACAGGATGATTTGTATATTGCTGGTGGTTTCCATTCAACTAATCCTTCTGAGTAAATTGTGGCTTTTGTTGCAAGAGTCACTTCGAAGTTACCATCAGCACTACATGATATTTTTCAGTATCGGTACAAATTATCATTACTTTTAAAGCTTGGAAAGATGTAATATTGTTAAAAATTGGAAATTTCTTAAAAATATATGTTTAAGTATTTGAATTAATGAATTGGATAGAAGTAATACGTACAAATAATACAACAATAATACACATAATAAACAAAGTTCACTACATTTTATCTATAGTTTTATTAAAATCCCGAATTTTATTTAAAGCGATGCTTGCCTTCGGACATTAAATGATCAATTCAGATTGTCAAATCAGTAATAGATCAAAATTTATAGCTTAAACTTAAAGGTGGGCATACCGAGGTAGAATGTAGAAGTAGACATCTCTTTGCCAGAGTAATAATGCAATCATTTCGTCAAACTGAACGTTAATATACATCAAATTATTTAAGGTCTTTTTAAAAATACTTTGTAAAATATTGTTTTAACGCCATATTACGTTACTCGTAGAGTAAAAGATTATACTGGGTCTGATATATAAATATATATTATGTAAATATGTAACAAGTATAAGGTTGTGTTTTCGACGCTAAAGTATATTGATCAGGATTATTAGCCGAGCCGATCATATCTGTTCGTCCGTACAATCGAGATTGTAGCATACGTACTTCTAGAACTGCGTTAGCTAGTTCCCACTGTGGTTTGGCTGGGCTGGCACATTTAGCTATTAAAAGGAGATAGATTTCTTATGAAGTGCAAACCTCGCGAAACCCAGTACCATCAAAACCCCACCCTAAACGGCCTTCATTGTAATATATATTTTATAAAGATATACGAGTTTTTATATATGTATCTTCCTAGCACTCCCAGTAGCTGAGCATCTGATAGTATCGTCCTGTCTTGTTTTGTATTATTTTCAGCAGGTAGTAGATTGCGATCCAAAAACAAGCATGGGCCAGTTGCTCTCCCTTTCTGTAAATCAATCAATATTATATCAATACGAAATTAAATTGCTAGCAAATAACACCACAATGTACCCTGGATGTCAATGAAAGATGTATGCACTAATAAGTCAAGTTCTTTAATTCTCTTTTGCTCCAAATTTTTTTTGATCGCTCCCTTTATAACTATTTATCCAGCAATAAGTGGTAATGTGTAACTTTGTGTAATCCACGCACATGCCGTTTCTTTTTGACTAGCACAAGAGGAACTACTAGCTCATAGCCATAGCGTTGGCGAAAATTTATCTTATATTGACCATATCATCTTTAGTTAGTTTACTAGGGCGATGCTGAATGGTTTTATGCAGACCTCTGAGCCCTAAAAAAGTAAAGCTGTTGTTATGCGTGTGTGAGGGATGTCCTTAATCAACGATTTCAAATATTTTCCCAATTCTTTGGCTAACCTTGTTTTTTTGCCCGTTACTCGTAGAGTACTCGTAGAGGGTATAGTAGATTCGTTGAATCGTTGATTCGTTTCCGACCATATAAAGTATATCTGGTCGATCTGGCCATGTCTGTCTCTCCGTCCGTCTGTCTGTATGAACACCTCGATCTCAGGAACGACAAAAACTAAAATGTTCAGATTAAGCATGCAGCTTCCAAAATGTTGCCACGCCCACAAACCGCATAAAACTGTCACGCACACTCTTTTGAAAAAGGTCGACATTTTTTAATTTTTTTATATATATTGTAAATTATTAAATGTGTGCCACAAACCGCCCAAAACGGTGAAATTTTTTCATTTTTGAAAAAATATTTTGTAAATTTTGTATAGTTTTTATGCCACGCCCACTATAAAGGCCACTCTAACGTCCAGAAACCGCGTAAAACTGTTACGCTCACACTTTTAAAAAAATTTTAAGTTTTTTTTAATTTTATTTTTTTTTTCCTCAACTTCTACCTATATTCCAGAAAGTGTTGAAATTTCTAGTTAGCACTTCCACTACCTCAGTAACGGGTATCTGATAGTCGGGGAACTCGACTTTAGCATTCTTTCTTGTTCTAAATTCAAGTTATTCTATTCAGAGGTGCTCCGTAAACCGATTTTGCCAGTGCCGACTCAACAGTGCAAAACCCTTCAGCGGTACTCCACACAAGTAACTTTCTGATTTGTTTTAGACTATTTCAATTAGCTTTAAAATCCAGCAAGCGTTGGACGTAACCTTTGAATCTAATGTTCGAACATTCGTATTACTTACCTTAAAAGCACAAATTATAAACAAAATACGTCTTAAACAATTATTTTAAAAACAAGAAAGAACACAAAAGAACACAATTTTGGACGGTTTGTGGGCGTTGGAGTGGGCGTGACAAAAAGCTTTTGGCAAATCTATAGACATTTACAAAATATATACAAAATTGAAAAAAATATCCATTTATTTTTTAAAGGTGTGGCCGTGACAGTTTTGTGCGGTTTGTGAAGGTTAGAGTGGGCGTAACAACATTTGGAAACAAAAATGCGCTGCATCTATGTCTCTGATGCATATTGCATGAATGCATTTATTGTGTTTGCCCAGAGTCTCAGCTCCTTCGTCCTGTTGGCATATTCAGCAGAGGATTGGCGGAAAGGGGAGCCAGAGCAGACATCGCTGAGCTCATTTGCACTTTGACGCGTCCTCAGCACAGGACGAATCACGACGAAACAGGATGAAACTGCAACGTCAGACAGGTGCAGGTGCAGGTGCAACTGACGGCAATGACGATGTTAACGAGTCCACAAAACAGCTCCAAAGAACTTGAGGCCACCTCCCCCACCCCTTTTTGTGGACCGCAGAGCCAAAAACCATCGCATTGCCCCATCGCCCCATATAATAAGCTGTATGCTTAATCTCAACATTTTTGTAGTTCCTGCGATCGAGACGTTCATACGGACAGACGGAAGGACGAACGGACATGGCCAGATAGACTAAGCTATTGATCCTGATTAATAATATATATACTTTATATGGTCGGAAACGCTTCCTTCTTCCTGTTACATACTTTTCGACGAATGTAGTATACCCTTTTACTCTACGAGTAAATGGTATTAAAATACTCCTTTATTTTCTCAAGCTTTATATGATCGGAAACGTTTCCTTCTGCCTGTTACATACGATTCAACGAATTCAACGTAATCTTGCTTTACGAGTAACGCATATAATAAGTAACCAACTTGGAAAGGTGAGTGTTTATGTTAACAAGGTACCTCAAGACAATGGATGCGATGAGTTCTTTCAATTCGATGGATTTAAACTTTGTAATGCCTTATTGAGGCGTTCTTTCTCCTGGCTTTGGGCGAGTATTAAAAGTCTCAATTCCAAGGAACCGTTTAACAAAGAGTGAACGAAGAGTCGGCTAGGTCAAGCCGATGAAACAACGATACAGTAGAGGGATTAAACCTTTTTAGACATATTCTAGACCTCTGGGATCAATACTATCAATACTCAATTCAATTATATTTGTACCTACACGTTCTTACAGAATTACAGAATTACAGATTAGTTCTTCCAGTTGGCCTAAATATGGTGGCTTACCAAAAATTGTGAGCTATCCTCTATCGGCGATTATAGATGTTTACCAAGTAATATTTGCGCAATTTTGTTGTTTAACGTCATGAATTTCGCAATAAATTATATATTATATAAATAAATTATTAAGCTACCTACAGTTTTCGGTCTTTTTTTTTTTTTAATTCTAAATTTCCAGTAACACACAAGAACAAAACCAAAGAGAATGCTATAATCGAGTTCCCCGACCATATGCTAAACAAAATAAAAAAAATATATAAAATTTTGTCAAAAGTTTTGGAGTAACATTTTTGAAAAATTATCGAAAGGTTTGTGGGCGTTAGAGTGGGTATGGCAACATCATTCAACAAACTTTGGAATCTGCATGCCTAACAGACAGACTAACTTAGCCAGATCGACTCGGCTTTTAATCCTGATTAAAAATATATATTATTTATATGGTCGGAAACGCTTCCTTCTGCCTGTTACATACTTTTCAGCGAATCAAGTATACCCTTTTACTATACGAGTAAATTGTATTGTTTTATTGTCTCGAGCCAAAAAAAAATTAACCATTTTGTTTAATTCCAAATTGTTACAATTACTTTCTTCCACCTTGTATCAAAATCCCGCAAAAAAAATATAACACATTTCAACTGTTAAGAAGTTAATCCAAGCCGCTTTATACCTCTACATAAGCTCCTACATAATATATATTATATACAGCAGTCTCGTCTCAGCGGCGAATTCTTTTTCGTTTTAGCTTGTTATCAGCAGCGTTGTTATTGTGACGCGTGACGCGATACCCTGTATTCGGAGGGATATACTGGATTTTGACGTCGCTTGCAACCACTAATATTTGATACTGTGTACCTGGACTTTCTATGGAAATATTATTTTCGTTGTTCAAAATTTTTAATTTTTATAATTTTTTCAAGAAATTTTAATTTTTTTGTTTTGATTTAAGAAAAAATGATTTAACTTATTTAAAATTTATTATAAACTTATCGTCACTTCGTTTTAAAATTTTATTTTATAATATATAAATATGTATGTTATATTATTCTACGTTTTATTGATGTGTATACATTACTGTTTTATTGGTCCCCAATGATTTGGATTTCTGTATTGTTTAAGGCTTTTTATCGAGAGCGTCGTTTGTCGGCACATCTTCTACTTCTTTGTCGTGAAACCCTCTCTTTCTTGCACGTCTTTTCAGTACTCCTCCCGAAATCGTTCTCTCTCGTCTTTTAAAGGCTAACGGCGTTAGTTTCTCCTCGTCGTCTTTAGATTAGCTAGTATAGCCAGTCATTCTGCGTTGCCAGACCTTTCCGACATATATATAAATTGCAATATTTTTGTACAAGATCGTCTGGCTTTGATTTTGATTCAGGAGGAGGAATTAAAAGACATTGGAAATGTAAGAACAGATTTGGAAACCCAAGAACAGACTTGATGATGTCGATGAATTTAGAGAAGAATTGGAAGATCTTTTGAGAGTGACCAGGGCTAATGTTACTTTTCTCGGCCTTCATCTCAGAAAGCGATTACA